CACTTCCACTATGGATAGTGCTATAGTCTTTAGAATAGAAAATTTTGATTTTATCTTATCACTTTGTGTTTTGGATAAAATATTGTTGATAACAAGTTTGGCTTGTACAGAATTGCAAACCATTTCGAAGGATATAGGGTTTGCAATAAATCAAATTCAATTGGCAAAAGATTGCTTGATTAATTTGAGAAGTATAATATAAATTATTGTCTTAATTATTTTTTAATCTAATAGATAATAACACTGAATTTTTGGATGTTTTTTCAAAGGCACAAGATTTTATGAAGAAGAGAAATCTACCTTTTGATTTTAAAAGTTCTAAACTTCAAACATTACAATCCAAAAAGCAGAGAAGGTATATATACTTTCATCATCAAATATAGAAATTTTTTTTAGCTTTAAAATAGGTGTGTTTTATGCTGCACTCGATTTAATTATTATGGAGTTTAACGAAAGATTTAATGATGATAGTTTTTACATCAAACATCATTTTTTACGCCAAATAATGTGGCAGAAAAATCGAAGATATCGAGGATATCTCTGAATTTTACAATTTAAATTCAAGTCAAATTTTCGAAGAAATGTTGAAGTTTAGAAATATTTATAAGATGGCCAAAATAGGGAATGTAATTATTACTCATAACCTAGAGGTTCAAGAATCTAAAGATTTGTCAGATTCTGATAATTGTAAATTTATTTAATTAAAATATTTTTACCAATACATTATTTAGCTTCTTCTGATGATGATGATAAATCAGGGACTTACGATTCAGATTGGAAAAACTATTCATTTATTTTACATTGTCGTCTACTTTAAAATTTTTCTGCTTTCCCTAATTTAAATTTATTAACCATTCCTACAACCTCATGTACTGCCGAAAGAGTCATGAGTAAAAAAATTAATTAAAACATTAATTTCTCAATAATTTAACCATATTATCAATGGAAAAAAATTTATTTAAACAATTAAATATTGATGAAATTATAAATTCTTTCGCTTTCTCTTTCCCTAATTTATCTAAATTACTAATTTAAAAATAATATTTATAAAGTATATATTTTTTGCATTTTATTTATATATATTAAAAATTTATAAAAAAAATATTTTTGAAATTTATGGGTGTCATAAAATAATTATAATTTTTTCGAGGGGGGGGGGGTACTTTTCAAGGGGGTACTTTTCAGGAAGTATTCTGCTTCATTCGCTCAGAAAGTGTAGGGGCCACTGCATCCAAACATACTCCAAAATAATTGGACTATGAGCAGAAAACCGAGATCTGCACATTTAATTGTTTCGTTCCAATCACCCATAACTTCCACACAACCGAACTCTCGTCCCTCACTCATTTCGACTCTCCAGTTGGTTGTTTGGAGTTCATCAATCATTTCTTCATTAACCTATTATCTAGTTTACTTCATTTTAAACACATCTCCAAGCATCTCCTTTCTTGTTAAGCTTTTTTTCTTCTCAAAAACTTTTACTACATTCCTAAAATTCTTTATTCTCTTCACCTCAATTTTCAAATTCCCCGATTCATTAAAATCATTTGAAACTTCGGACAAATCTCTTACTGAAGAGGTCCGTAATCTCCGTTTTGATCATAATTCTTACAAGCATTACTTAAATGCAAACTCGAAGATATCGAGCCACGTTCACCCCTATCTCTTTCCATTTGTGGATTCATCGCATTAAATCCGTCAACTTTCTCCCTTTTCTGATAACTTGTTAGCGGAGGCACCATTTGCGACTTCCTTGTTCCAAACACTCAACGACCCTCCTCGTTCCGTCACTTATGATATACAAGCCGATTTTGTATGATAAAATTTTATTTATTCTATTTTGAAAATTCATTAAGTATATATATATATATATCATATAAATGTTACATTCTTATTTCGACAGAACTTTGCAAATTTTTATTGAGTTTACTTATTACTAAATATATAATAAAAAAATCATTCAAGTAAAAGTTATTAATAGATTCTATACAATATAACTAACATTAAAATCGTTTAATGTTACATAAAAAATAATAAATTTAAAAACTTCAAGTAAAATAAAGGTTATAAATATTCTAAATATATCTCGAACACTAAATAAAATAATTCGACAAATATGAATCGATCATCTCAACAATTACAGTTTCAACCCCAAAGTTCCCATAAATGTTAACATATATTTACAAATTTAAAATATAATTTGTATTATTGAAGTAATTATATATTTTTTAAAATTTATTTTTATAATTTTAAATCCATTTTTAAATAAAGGAAAATCATTTAATTAAATAAGTATCAACCGGCATGATATTGTTCATTGTTTTAATAATTATCCTACCAGCATAATGTCAATCTTGGCATTTTTATTTATTTTGCCAATAATGTTTTTCTTTATACTATCTCCAAACACATTGAATTAAAAAAATTATCAAATATGCACTAATTATTGACATAAATATCAGATATAATGCTTCCAGATTTTTGGCTGCCTTTACCCTTAAGACTTGATATCATAGTTTGTATTTGAGTAGTAATTCGATTACTATTTTATGGCGATATTGATCAAATAATAAATATGTAAGGAACTAATTATTAATGTAAACTAGTAAGTTATAACTTCTATATAACTCCGTTCTGGCATGGTGCTAATTATGACAATTTTTTACCAATAATTTTTCCCCCTCCTCTAACAAACAAAATATAACAATAAAATGTACAAATAAAGTCCTACTTAATGGTTTGGTATAAGTTTTAGAATTAGTGTTTTCAGAAACTTGCCTCACTTCACACTTAAAGCATGATGTAATAGTTTTTATTATGTTTATAACTTGTTTCTTTTTGTGGTTCTGATATTTGATTAAGGAATAATACTAGTCAAGAATTAAATGGCTCATGCTAGATATAAACTTTTTTTTATTCCCATTCTAGCATGATGCCAATTTTTATTTTTTCTTACTAACCAAACGGAGTAAATTAATTTTCAATTAAGCACAAGCCATTGATAAAATTTCCAGAATAAATGCATTCATCACCGTTCTAATAGTAGGGTTGGCTAAAATTTCGTTACTAATAATTTTTTTCTTTATATTGGCAACTATACTGGTTAATGTCAAACATAATAATGCACAAAACAATGGCATATTTTAGAATTAGTGCTTCCAATTGTTCAGCTAATTTTAACGGATATTATAATGATCATAGAAAAATAGATATAATTTTCTATAAGGGGGAGCTGCCCGGAAGTCGGCCTGACCCCCCCCCTCCCCATGGATAGATTTCGGCTACACCACTGTATATGAGAAATAGTAGTATTTAACAGTCATCAATATAATCAGCTTTCATTAGGTACATGCCATATTATATGAGTCAGGAACCTCCAGGCCGGTCCAGCCCGGGTACAAGGCCAAGCTGTTTTGATTTTTTTATAAATATCTAGACCAGGCCTAAAAAAAAATTTTTAAGGTCGAGCTTAAAAATTTTTTAAAAAAATACCTGGGCCAAGTCATATATTTTAAAACCGAATAATTTAAATCACCATTATTAACTATAAAAATAAAAAATTAATTTAATATATTTTTAAAAATCCAGACTGCCAAAAAATTTTTTTTTAGAAAAATCGGGCCAGGCTTGAAAACATGAAATCCGAGTCAAGCCAATGGGTTTTTTTTAAATCTGTGTCGGGCCATGCAAATTATACCTCTGCAGGTCTCTGATATTCGCATATAGGCATAAACTTAATACTGAGTCAATTTCAATAAATATTATTAGTAATTTTATTTTTTAAATAATTTATTATTTTTTCTTAATTTTTTATTGAATAATGTCAGCTGAAAATGTTTTTAGATTCCGACATTATTTGTTGACCTTAAGAGTTTAGTCAAAGTAATTTTTCCCATAGTTTTTTAGTCCTATCGATATAAGAAGAGGAGTTTAAATCCCATTTTTTTTTAATCAACGTTTATTAAAATTATATAAATTTCCAGTGGCACTATAAAAGAAGCGATTTACATTATTAAATAGAAAAAACTTTGATTATAAAGTGAGCTAGGTTTGTCACTTATGCCTGTGCAAAATAAATAAGATATAAAATTATAAATCAATTCAAAATCAGATTTATTTTCTAGATTCAAATTGGCAAATAAAAATTCAAAAAAAATGAATTGGTTTAACCCAAATTTTACAAATTCAACCACACTATATTTTATATCTTTATATTTTAAATAGTAATTTAACAGTGGCAGAAGATAGGTAGGGGGAATAATTAGTTATTTTTAACAACCCTAAAAAGTTGATATTTAATAAGTTTTAAATATTTTATAGTAAAAATAATTAAACATCTTTAATTAGGATTTATTTTTAATAGTTTATTTAAAAAGTACCAATAAAATTAATAATTTTATAGAATAAATATATTAAGTAAACAAATTATAATATTCATGTGAAAAAAGTTAATTTTAAAAATTGTAATAAACTTGTAACTTAAATGAAATTGTTGATAAAATATAATAGTCAGGACTCTAACCCTAGTGAGATTAGATGATGGAAAGTTTCTTTGAAATTATAAGGTGTTGGGTGTGAAGACATATTGTCAAGGGTAGGGGGGTTAGTTTTGATTTGAATTTTTTTTTTGTAGGGGCTTTAGGTTCACTTATTGCAGGCCTTTGGCCAGGTAGATTTTTTTAAAATAATTATGATTTTTTTTCCACTTTTTAAGATAAATATTTTTAAATTCTAAAAGCTATTGTCATTATAATATAAAATATTTAAGCTTTACTCTTTCCTTTGAATTATTATTGTAGTGACATTATGGGGAGGGGGTGTGATAAGTATAGGGGATTTTTTTTTATCAGCTTAAAATAATATTTATAAAAGGAAGGAAACCAATTACCAAAAAAGTGGAGGGAAGCCACTATACCTATGATGAAATGAAAAAACATCTTGTAAAAAAACAAATTATACTACCTGTTAAAGTAATAAAAATGTATTTATATATAATTTACTAAAAGAGGTAGAGCAAAATAAGAATCAAAGCAAGCCAGAAGTACAAATTGAGCTGATATAAAGTACCATATAGCTGATAATCTTAGATTTGGAGATGCATATATTGCTAGTATATATACTACAGCAAATAGGGTTCCACAAACATTATTTCCTATAATTACACCATTTGTATATTTCATTGGTAAACTCCCTGCTAAACCAAAAATTGAACTTTGATATATGCCTGCAGCACTATTTGTGATAGCAGCTGTTATCATGGTTAATATGAAAAAAGCTTTTGGCCAAGTTGATGTGTCCAAAATGGCTAATATAACTGTGACTATGCACATCATAACATTAATAATGATTGAAATGGGTATTCTGGGTTGAGTTTGGTAAGCTTTAGGGTTTATATTCTTTGTAGAGGATCCAAATTGAACAAACAAATTTAATGCCATTAAAATAACATTTGGTAATTGAGATATTACTCCTAAATAACTAATAAAATTTTCCTTGTATTCATGAGTGCCTGTTACATTTGGGTTTAATTTATAATCTACAAAATACTAAAAAGAGTGATATTTCCCAAATATTTATTTACCGAATTTGCGTTGATGAACACATTCCATGGAATAAGCATTCCAATACCATGTAATAGCATAATAATGTAAAGTAAATTCATACTATCATAAGGTTTAGGATAAAGATTCCTATGAGGGGGAATGATTAAACTGCTACTTAATTCCATCGCTTGACTGTTCATTGCTGAATTGTGAATTCTTAATCAAAGTTTCATTATTTTTTTACCACTCAGCTGGAGACGCCGATTTTAACATATGTTTACGTCAAAACATCTGATTTGAAAGCGTCCGATCTTCGGTAAGTTAATGTGATTTTATTTAACGTTCGCGTTATAATAAATTAGGCAATATTATATTAATGCAAATGAATCAATATTGGCTTGTAAAATTATTGATCATATATTTTAATATATTTTAAATTAATAAAATAATAAAAATGATGGAACAAATAAAAATTGCTTATATTATAAATTACCTATTATATTTTAACAAAAAAGAATGATAAATAAATTTAAATAAAATATTAAATTTTCATATCTAACTATACTATCAAACATTTGTTCAATGGAATTATAAATCCTACATTACCTTTTCATAATGCAATGAGTATGGAAGATTATAATATAAAGGATTAAATTAAAATTATTTAAATATTTCTGAACTTACAATTCCCATTATAATATGAACTAAATTTCTATCATTTGTATGTTTTTGTTTATATAAACATGTAAAATATTTTCTAACTTACAATCCTTATATTTAAATTTAAATATAAGTTGTTTATAAACAAAAAAATATTTATCGATTTAAAATTCCTATATTATCCTTTCATAATAGAAAAACTTATTCATCATTGAGAGTTAAATTTAATTTACTTGAATGTTCAACTAAACCTAGATAATATTTCTCAACTTGAAATTCCTACATAATCTTTTCCTATTATGAAAAATTAATTGCATTAAGAATTAAATTTAAGATATTTGAATGTTTTTTTAAATAAAAAGTAAATTTATCTCAACTAGCAATTCCTTCATTATCTTTTTATAATATGAATTATAATTATTAATTTGTCATTTAAATGTTTTTATATTTAAATCATTGATATAAATATGCCTAAAAAATATTTATCAAGTTGTAATCCCTACACTATCTTTTGATAATATAAAAAATAAAGTATATTAAATTTAATTTATTTAAATATTTTTTTATTTAAATATTTTTTTATTTAAATATTTTTTTATTTAAATATTTTTTTATTTAAATATTTTTTTATTTAAATATTTTTTTATTTAAATATTTTTTTATTTAAATATTTTTTTATTTAAATCATTGTTTCAAATAAACTGAACATATATTTCTCAACTTATATTCATTATCTTCTTGTAATATGAAAAATATAGTTTAAGATTATATAGTCATTCAATTGTTATATTTTAAACATTGGAATAAATTAACCTAACAAATATTTCTCAACAAACTATTACTCAACTAACAATTCCTACCATATCTTTTAAAAATATAAAAATTATTTAAACCTTAAGAATATAATTATGACATATTTATAATAGAATCATTAAAAATATATATAAAATAAGTTTATTGTTTATTAAGTTGGTTTTATCATTTGCATTGATTGTCGTTGATGAACTGGGGTTGCTTGATAAGAGATTTACCATGTGCATGAGAGTCCTGAATGGATTTTGTTATTACGTAATTATTTTTGACTCTGCTCATGTGATTAACTTCAAGTGATTCATCCAAGTGAAACAATTTCATCAAGCCCTTGATGTCACTTGGCTCAGTGGTGTCTTCCTCTAGACCTAGATTGTAAATATCTTCTATAGTCATAACGCTCCTGACCGCTTTCCTGACATCTTTGGAATTCGAAGCAACTCTCACTTTCTCAATAATGCGCTGAATGCCATTGAATTTTCATTCTTTAATGAGTCGTCGTGCTAATAACGCGAAGGTCGTCAGTTCGAGACTCGTCTTGGCCACCATGTAAGAATTGTATAGAATCTTTCATTAAGTAATAATGTCATGATGTATATATTTATTTTTATATAAATTACATTTTTATTTTTTATTAACTAAAAACCATTTTTATTTTTATATCTTTTTTTTAACAATAAAAAAATTACCAATTATGTCAAATACAAATTTTAAAAAAATGTAACATTAAAATAATATAAAAAAAAATGTTAATATAAAATTTTCACCGATTTAATTTAAATACAAATTAAATTTAAAAAAATGTCACATTAAAATGATATATAAAAAAATGTTGATATAAATTTTGACCGAAAGGTATAATCCCTATTATTTAACAATTTCTATGCTGCCTCTCCAAAATTCTGCATTTATTGTGAATATTTTGTTCCTGTCTATGGGATTTGTTCCTGTCTATTAAATTAATTAAATCTAATTTATAAATACAATATCATATATAAAAAAAATACTTATGTCTATTATATTAGAATTTGAATAAAAATGGAATATTTTAGCTATTTCTGTACAAGGAGAGTAGTTAATTTTAAAAATTTAACTAATAAAATGTTTAGTAAATTGTAGTATATCGTTTTAAACGATCCATAAACATTTGCCGGAAGTCAAAATATTTTTACTACAATAAAATTATCATTCCTCTAAAAGAAGGGACTTATGCTTAAAGTGTCCAAATAATGCCAAATGAAATATTTTAACTCGTCTACATTAATTAGGAATTTAAAAATATGAATAATTAAACGGGTAACGTAATTTAGAATAATTTCTTAATATCTGATAGGTTGCTCAACATATATTTCACTCTAAATAATATAAATTATTTATTTTAAATATACATTTATCTTGAGGAAAATATATATATAGCAAATTATACGATATTATCAGATTTGACCAGTATACAATGAATCTTATTTTTAAAATACATGATCCTTTTATATTTTTCACTCAGTAATTTGTTAAAACTTTTAATATGTAACTCATATCTCTCTAACTAAAATATTGTAATTTTTCTTCATTTTTTTGGCAAAAATACAGATAATTTTTTTTTATATATATTTATATTTTTGTTAAATAAATTAAATAATTATATTATCTGATTTTTTTTTTCTCTTTTAGAAACTTTTTTATTGTTTATTCCTGTTAAAACAGACTAATATTAAATTTTATAAATAGATTTTAATTAAATTCAGGATACATTTATTTATCTTTTTAATATGATAATATATTCAGATATTCATTTGACATTCTATTTAGCCTTATACCTTATGTTAAATTTTATTTTATTTTATAAAGATTAACTTAATATCTTTTTGATTCAGATTATAAACCTTTATTTTATTATTCATATCAACATTATTATTTTTTATTATATATATTGTAATACTTCAATTTTAGGTAATTGACATTTAAGGTCGTTTTCCCATAATTATTGTTGAATTTACAATCTTTTTACATATTTTTTATATGTATTCATATTTTGTTTAATCTCGAAAGAGCTGATTAATTATTATCATTATATTTAAAAATTGTAATGATCACTCGTAAATTTTAATGTTTTACTATTTTAAAAGAATATAAGGAAGAGAAAAAGAATATAATTGAAAATTAATTGGTATTTTTTAATATTTTAATGAAGTAAGATTAAATAGAGGAATTCATATTTCACTTCGATAAGGTCTACAAGCGGTTTTATTATCCTCTTTATATAAACATAAAAAGGGTGTCATGACTGGGATCAATTTTTTGGGGGTGATCTATATTATCTCTGCTACAAAGTAATTTAAAAATATTGGGAATAAATTAAATTCATCTGATAATTTCAAAATATAATAATTATTTTCTCGATATCCTTATCAAAATTATTTGAAGAATAAATTATATTGATATCCAAATGTATATATTATTATCCCAAATTCTAAATATAAAAATAGTGGATAATAGTAAAATTAATAGTAAATACCACAAAATTTGGAATTATTATAATATCAATATAAAATAATAAATAACAAAAATTGGGAATATATATATTATCAAAATAAAATTAAACAATTAATATTCCAAAATTTGGAATTAATATATCATCAAATATAATTTTCTTTTGTAATAAAATAAATTCTAAGAGGAGATTATTCAATATTTGCTAAATTCGGAGGAAAATATATCTTTTTAGTGCTAATATATTAGTATAATTATTAAAGTAATCGTGGTATAATATTATTCATTAAATTATTAGAAATCGTTTTTTTAGAGGGATAACGCCATGCTGTGATATTATCCATTAAAATATAAAATCATATAGGAAATTATTAGTTTATATAAATCTGTTTCCAAAAAATGATAAATCTTATTCGATTGGTAAATAAGACGAATCAAATTACGTCCTCCTATTGGCAAATAAACTGTATTTATTTGTTCTTATTCGGAAGATGAATCAAATGGCGTCCTTCTATGGACAAAGAACCGCATTTCTTATGTAAAATTGTAACAAGGACGATTCCAATAGCGTCCTCCTATGGACAGATAGTCGTTTAATTCTTATTACTGGGGTAAAGTTATTCTGAAAAGGTTCATTTATGATTATTTATTTCCTACCCGTATATTAAATATTCAAGCTAGACTACATTCATCATCATATTTAACGTGTAGTAATTATTTTTAGTATTAAACACCTATTAGTTCAACTCGTTACATAAAATTTTAAGAGAGCGTGGCATAACGAATCTTGAAGAAAGTTATAATTTTAAAAAGTTATATATTATAAAATTCTAGAAAATTTAAAAAAATTTTAATAATTAATCCTTTTTTTATTTGAAACCTCACATATTGAGCATCTTTCTCGCTCGTTGCTCGATTTTTCTGACATACATATTCATCATTCCTTCGCTATTTTTGCACATCAATCAACAGACCTCTCACAGGTGCTTTTGCTTTATTATTGGCAGCATTTTTTTTATTTTTTATACCTATGGCCATTCCCCACGAACGCAGAATCTGCCCATCATGCATGAAACCAATACATTTAACAAATGATGGAGAATTTTTTGTTCATGGACCAATCTCTAACAGGTGTCCGCATTCAAAACACACGCCTCTTTCTCAGATCACTTACTCGCTTCCCCCCCCTCTCATAGATTCTCCCTTAAACCAAGTAATTGGTGCCTCATTCTCAGATATTTTTCTTAACTCCACAAAACCAAGTATCATAACGAGAATACCCAAAGGAGCGAGAATATAAGTAGCTAAATCTCTCAGCAACTGCATATCTTCTCTTTTGCAAAATTTTAA